GTGGCGAGCAATTGCGTTGTGCATCATTTACTTTGTATATCGTTATTACTATTATTATTACATTGTTACTATTATTATTAATATTTTACTTTATTTTATTTCAATTATAAAACTGTTCTTATCTCAACCCAGGAGTGTTTCTCACTTTTGCTCTTCTGATTCTCTCCCCTATCCCACTGGGGCAGGGGGAGCAAGCGAGCGGCTGCCTGGTGTTTAGTTGCTGGCTGGGGTTAAACCATGACAACAGTTTAGTTAATTCACCAGCAATCAGGAATTGAAGGCTTCTCTTCACTGTTCAGGGAGGTATAGACCTGAGTTGAGATACATACAGCAGTGTATGAAGTCCCAGAACAACTACCTCATGAGGTACACACATAAGGAGCCTCTCCCCACATAAAGAAAAAAGAGGATGTTTCCTGTAACTTAACTTTAAGAGTTAATTGACTAATATATTTCACATTAACACCAAAAATCACCACAGAGGACTGACAGACAAATGAAAGATTTCAGTCAGATGTAGTGCCTGAAGAAAACACTGAACTTTCTGCTTCAGAGAACCCTAGCATCTGTGTATCTACCACTGAGAAAATTAGTATGTCAGCCTTGGGTCACATAAAGGGAAAAAAAATCTGAGAAATTCTCATGTTACCACTCTGCACTGCTTGAGTTTAATATTTTTCTCAACCAAAGAAATAGATTCCAGATCTTAGAAGTGACAGAGAATACCACATTTCGTTAGATTTTCTCTGATGAAGAAAAAAACAAAATCAAAGGCAAATAAAGAAGGAATAGTTTAGTGTGGTTCAATGAGACTCTTTGAACGCACAGCATGAATAAACTTGGAAAGACTTGAAATTGCTTAAATTTCAATGTCTTGTCTACAAAATAGAAGAAGACATATTTCTGAAAAAGGAGTGTGTCATGGATTTGTGGCTCCTTCTGTTCTCAGATCTCTAAGATCAAACCTACTTCCTCCACCTCTCTGCTCAGCTGGAAACTTACAGTATTTGACAAAGTTTGGCTGGGGCTTCCACAGCCCATCCCTTTATTGTTTTCTCTCACTGTGTTTAACTTGACTTCAACTTGACTTTAGCCTTTTTCTTTTTGGATACTTCTGGCCAGCACTTAATAGACTTGACCAGACAGCTTTCGTACATAGAAAATATCGTTCAATGTAAATGCCAGTATTGCAATAAAGCAAAAGAAAGAACACTTCAAAAGGAACAAAGAGTCCATATGTGTTTATATTTCTCAGTGTCTTACCCCAAGAGATGAAAAACAATTTTGAATTCTTAGGAGTCTCCTCTTATGCTCCTAAAAAAGTACCTTAGCCAGCTTGCTTTGCTAAAAGGAAAGCTTGGACAGCTGCCTTTTGCAGTTTCCAGAAAGTGAATTTTTAACATTGCTTATGGCCTTTGTTATGGATTGTTTGGTTTACAACTTCAGCAAAATGAATCCTGTAACTTTGGCAGGAGTCTGAAAACGGTGTCTTCACACCTGATCTGGGCTATGAGATATTTCATCTGTACCTGTTTTACTACTTTTCTGGCATGCTTCTTGGATTGCATGTAGCTAACGCAATCCAGTGCAAATTTACAGTACCTTCATCTGGACAGTTAGGTGGGCAGTTCTGTAAGGAGCACACCTCATTTCAGGGGCTTAAAATCAGAGACAGTAAGGGACTAATGCTCCCATACATGGAGCAGCAGTTCCAAAAGTTCGAAGAGAAGTAAGTGCACTCATGCAGATCAACTGTGTTCTTAGGCACAGTGTCTCCAACACATCCAATACCCAAAATAATGAGAATGAGGTGTCTGAACACATTATACATGTCCATAAATTAAGGAAATCCTGTTGACTCACTGATGATTCAACATTAAAACTTCCCAAGCCAGTCTGAAGCTGGTCAGGTGGAAAGCCTATCTCTTGGAAAAGTAAATGCTAGGCTCCTGCTTCAAGTGCTCTGAATTACTGTGGGATCCATTCAGTGTGTTAGATGCATGGTATTAATCAGTACAAAGCTACTGTAGTGCCTAATGGAGTTGTGAATTACTGTTTTCTCATTGATGGATAGATTGCATGGGATTAGCCCTAATCAGGTACTTTAAATAATGAGAATGTCTCCAACCAGCATTGAATTAAGCCATACAAAAGTGTGCTTCCCCCAAATCTCAGCAGAGTTTGGATAGAGAAGAACACAAATTAAGTAAATCACTGTGCAAGAAATATTTACTTTCATTGGTTCACTAAATAAAGAAAAATAAGCATGTGTTTAACTTCATAGGTAGTGCAAAGATACATGTTTATAAACTCCAATTCAGTGTAAAACTAAACAGAAAGATCTGGCAGTTTAAAAGAATCTGTGTTCATTCCTCCCATATTGTAGACATCTTCCAAATCATGTAGTTATTACTTTTCACTGGACAAGTGAACAGTTTAATTTTATACATCTGAGTCCATATTCCATTTAAATGCAAAGCAATACATTCATTAAAAGATAAATTTAATTGTCTGAAAGCTTAATTTTGATCCATTTTTTTAATCATAGTATCTCTTTGTGAATATGTCAATTTATTTTAATGGGAGGGATTTATTTTCTCAAACAAAGTAATACCAAAACTGAGGATGGATAATAAATATATAAAACTGAGTTCTTAATGTTCATGCCAATCACATACACATATCCTGCATAGCTGCTAAAACTCAGTAAAAAATAAGAACCTATTTAAAAATGCTTCCTTTAAAGCAATTGTCTACATTTAATATTTCAGCCTTAGGGAAACATTAAAGCAACAACACTTTTACTGCATAACATTCTCATAAAACATGGATGAGTGCTTCACTTCTGATAAGACAGCATGCATCAGGAATTTACTGTATTAAGGTACTAGCAGATCAAGGGACAAAGAAAACATGTTCAGAAAGATGAGAAAGATGCTGATTACAAAATAAAAACCCAAACATATCAAGAACAGGTTTTAAAATGAGCATTAGTGTTGTCCTATATAGCCTTCACATGTTATTGAAAATACTGACTTTTCTCTAGTTCTATTTTTTACCTCTATGTTTTTCTACCAGTCTAAATCTAGTCTTTATGCATTTCCAAATCAGACAGATAAAGCACTCCCAAGAAAGAGAAAGGGAGGAATCAGATCAAAGACAACAAAGTATGACAGATAAAGGCAGAGCTAGTTCATAATAACAAAACACAGGAAAACAATCCACTTTTCATCAGGTTGCATGGTCCGTGGATTGTAGGGGAAGATGATATTCAGATACTAGTATGGAATTAAAATACTGTAGGAGGCTTGAAAAAGCAGAGATACAAACCTCACATTTTACTTTAATATATACAATCGCTATACATAGTCTGTTAGTACTGATGTGCCATAGATAAAAAGAGCAGTACAGAAAAAAACTATCCTGTAAAAAAAAAAAAAAAATCACTATGATATAGAAAGACTTTTCATAATTAAAACACTGTAGAGAATGACACACATTTTGAGACATACAAGAAATCAACTTCAAGCGATTAATCTGAATTATTTTTAGCAACTTAATTTTAGTTAACGATGATTCCCATTTCCAAAGATAGTTTCCTTCAGAATCAATTAAAAGAAGTGGGTCTTCTCCCAGACAGATATACTACTCTGAATAAGCAAACATTAGTAAGTCTTCAATCATTACCTTTTTATGAAAAAATAACCCATTCCCCTTTAATAAAATGAATACTTGCAAATACAAATTTAGCCAGAGTCAGATGAGTGGGATATTCACAAAGAATGGGATAAAGCTAAATCCTAGGGTTTTTATTTCTTTGTTTGTTTGCTTGCTTGTTTGGTTTTCCCCAGAATAATATGATGGGTTTCAGGCATTGGTTTTGGCATTTTATTCGCTTTCTGGTATTGCGTAGTTATGTTGCTTGAACTAGTTTCACATGAGGTAGTTTGAGGCCTATGAGAAGGAATGATTTAGCAAATTATTCTTGCTAAAATTGTATACTTGAATAAGCCTCACAGTTTAATTATTGAAATTAAATTGAGACTCCCATCTATAAGAAACTGCAGAGGAATTTTAGTCATTACCTCCTTAGGCTGTAGGGTTCATTTGATCCATGTTTTTGTTTGTGATCACCAACTGTATTTTTGTGAATATTTGTTAATGATATTGAATAAGTACACATTGAAATGCGTATGAACTTTTTTAACAAGGCAGTGTAGCTAACCCAAGAGTGTAGAGACACCTGTAATTTCACAGATTGCTTCAGAAAATTCAGGCTCAGCATAATGGACAAACTTAGAAAAGTCTAAGACCATAAAATACAAGATGAAACGCCATCAAAGACAGAGACAAATGCAGTCTTATTTCTGTGCAGAAATGCAAAAGAGGCAGTGGACCTAATGGCAAGATATGAAATGCATTAAAAAGATTTGAAAGGGAGGCAAAGCAGACCTCCACAGACATTTAAAACTGATCTGAGGATGGAAATGGCAGTGAGGATTAAAACTGCAAGCAGAAAAAGAGCTAGCCTTTTTATAGGTTCACAATGTTCTCGTACTCCTGCTTGCAATTATACTCTAGGGTGGCAATCAGTCACCAGGAACATCCAAAAAGAGTAATATCTACCGTAAATGGAAGTTATTCCATTCATACTGTGTGATGAGCCTTTTCCATGATCCAAAATTAATTTCTTCTATATCAAAAGTACTCAAATTATACCATACTAGTGTTTAAGCACAGTGAGACTTACAAACCTTGAGTGTCAATTCAACCACAGTTAAATAAAAGTCAGAGGAAGCTTAAGCCCATTTTAAATATAAGATATATTAACATTTATTTTGAACACTGCGTTGAATATATTGAAAAGTAATATTCAACTAATGGAAGTCTGTGGAGACGCCATGTATTCCATCTTTGTAATGAGCAGCTCATCTAACTTATCAGACTGCTTTTCAAAAATCACTGCTTATTTCTTCTTGCTGCTTCTCCTCAGCTCTTACCTTCCAGATTCAAATGTGAACCATGTTGAATCACGTCCATATCTCCTCAAAGAGCTCAGAGGCCACATGACCAGCTTGACCTTGGCATTGTGGATGTCCCAGAGATAGATGTTTTCATGTGTGATCTGCATTGTACATTCCCCATAGATATCTAAATTTGGTGTAGGCATAAGATATACATTGAACCGTTCTGGAAAAAAAAAAACAACCAAAACACAGAATAAGACATCACCAGTTAAAGTAAGATTTTATACTGAGGGGAAAAAAGAAAAAAAGTTCTTAGTTACTGATGGTTCAGTAATCAAAGCCAAATTTCTAGTCTTGAACAGAAGTGAGGAACCACTGATGTTGAAGAAGCCTATCTAGTGTACATGAGAGGAGTAAGAGGAGAATCTTCTTAATTTCATTTTCATTATAAATAATGCAGCAGACTGAAACATCTTTAAGAGATTAGCTGCATAGTTCTCTGACATATGTCCCCAGCAACTTAATTGAAGTCCTTTATCCTCACATTAAGGTCCATGACTCTTTGGAAATCGAAATTCACAATGACTTGAACTCTAGAGAGACTCCTCTCTCAAAGAACAGGTATCTTGGCAAAACATCTATGTACAACCATTGCCCCTTAGAAAAACTGTCCTTGAAATTGCAAACCCAAGTTTACTTATTGAAGCTTGTTAATAATTACTTTCTTTGTGTTCAGTTTCTATTTATTTGTTAAACTCATTATCATTTGCCAAATTAATAATATTTTTAATCATCTGTTGCTTTCTTGAAAAATCTGATTCAACATGATGTATTATTATGGTCATGACATCAATTGCTACCAGCTGCACTTCCACTGCAGAGTGTAGTCATTGCAGTAAGAGGTCAAGGGCATTAACAATTTTCTGAAGTGCCTGAATTGCATGTAATTTAATAAGCAATACAAAAACTATCCTTAAAAAAAAAAAAAAAAGGAAAAACCCCCCAGCAGTTGCTGGGGTGAGCAAGAGAATTTTAACTAAAAATCCAATTTTCTTTGAAGAATAAATATGTTTCTAAGAGTTTCTTCTACAAAGAGTGAAAAACTCAGTTAAAGTTCAGGTTGTACAGTTGGAAGTGACAGCCTATATTTTAACTCTAAAGCACTGAAATCTTAGGGCTTAATGGCATAATATAGGAGAGTGCAGCTGATTCATGACTTCCTCTCACAATTTCCTTTCATTTTTGAAATGATAGAAATGCAAAATTTAAATGCTACTGCACTGAAGGTTGTTGACAAAAAAAGAAAGAACAATTTAAAGTATGAACATGAGCAATGCTCATTCAATAAACAGTACCAGGAAAATGTCCATTAAGGGGACACCTGGTAGGAAAATTGTCTCCAATTACTTAACAAATGAATGACAGTTTGGCACGGAACATTTTTAATCCACCATTTGCACTGAATTTTCTCATGGTGTCCTCATAAAAATTAGGAAGGAATTTAAAGTAAACAGAAGATGAATAAAGTGAGAGAAATTTATCATAACAGTCAAACTTAGATGCAGCTTCCCATTGTGTTTGACATTCAATATCACAGACATTATGTCTGCATTTTTTAAACATTTGATGTATATATACTTTTCTGACAAATCAGTGAAAATATTGCAAATAAGTCAGTTAATATAAAATATGTTAGAAGTGTGTGTATGAGTATGTGTGTGTGTCTCAATAAACTAGCAAAAGTTTGGCTGAGGAATTAATAGAAGTAGGGAACTGCTGGGTGGACAGTAAGAATTGCCATCCTGCATAGCTATAAGTAAACTTGTCATTCCCAATGTTATTCTGTTTCAGTCAATTTACTTTTGTCTTATTAATGACTCCCCATTTGATTCATTCAGTCTTATAGCCATTCAACCTCTTCTCCCAGGCTCTAGCTCTCATTAATCACACTAATAGGTGTTAGCCTTAAAAGTTTCTTTTTATAACTAAGGTCCCAAGTGTGAAACTCCTAATGTTTTGTAAAAAGTTTTCTGATACACAGCACAAATAAATTAGAAGGTGCTGCTGAGATCACTGCAAAGAATTTTCCTAACCCTCAGAAGGTTGTGTTGGGCATAGGTCTAACCTAACCCCGGCTGAAGTAGATGGAAAGACTTACATGGGAGTATGGGTCAATGACTGCATTGGGAAGGGAATGGTGGAGAACAAGATAACTTATGCTTTGCAATGGAATTATATTTTTATATATGTGTATATATATATACATGCCCTTTTTCAGTATGCATATGTCATCATGATGGTCATGCAAAAATGCCTAGGAGCTACGCAGGTGAGCTTTTATTGTATATTAGACTCCAGTTTTGCATGCCATGCTGTTACTTCCTGTTATTTACCTCATCTATTTGAAAGAAAGATACAGATGACTGACACATCAGCTGGTTCTCTCGGCCTCCCTTTTACATTACATGAAATCACATAATGTGTCTATGGGGGAATGGGGCTACTATATGAGAATGGATATCTTTCCCTTTCCCTGTCTTCACTGACAGAATGCCTCAGATGGCAGAGAAAAAGGAAAGCTGTAATTATTTTCTGAAGTAAACATTAAACTGTTGTGTTGAAGGCACAGAATATTTCAACTTGTTTTAGAAGTTGCCAGGATACTCATGAAATGCTCAACTTCTCTGAAGTGTTTGAGGATATTATTGCATGAAGTGTACTCAGGACATATGGTATCCTCAAACTGTCAGGAGACATTTGCTGACTTTGCATGGGAGGTCAGTGTCTAAGGTGAGGTGTCATGGATTAAAGAAAGTATGTCTGATTAAACTGAACATCAGCTGCAGGGCAAAACACAGCACCCTTGGAACTTACTCAAATTGGCAAGAAAAGCAAGTGTACAAACATACGTGCTGGAGAAGATTGAGGATGGATATATTTGCTGTTGAAACAAAAACTTAATAATAGTTCCAAGTAGTGGGAAATTGAGGACATGGAAAGGTGTGGATACTATTAAATCATTTTAGGAATTAAAACACAGGGTCCAATTTTTCCATTGCAGAAAATATTTGAACAACTATCTAAGTAACGGTAATACAGTCATTCAGTTTTTAGAGGTAAGTTTTGCCCTTTAACTCATCCAGGCAAGAACAAACATTCATAGGCTAGATTTGGGAATCCCAGCTTAATCCTGTCACCAGATCTTCTGAATCACATTGAATAAGATATTTAGCTTCTCTCTGGGTTAGTTACCATCTGCATATGAGTGGGATGAGAAAATAGGAGTTCATTGGGTAGTAGGATTAGGTAAATAGAAGTTATGAGGGACCCAGAAAGTAGGGTGATGGAAGAAACCAAACAAGTAGATGCTATTTGGCTGGAGAAGACAAGGCTGAGACTGAGCAGGTGCAATTCCTCAACATTCAGCATCGCTATCCTCCTCCCTCCTCTAAAATTGGTGAGAGCAAAGTTCAGGGAGTGGGGGAGCCAGGATAAGAAAAAAGCGCTGATGTATTGCTACACTTGTTCCACTCTTTACAATGTAACCGCTGTTTCCCATCTCCTTGAATAAGCAGAGCAATGCTTCATCATACACTTTGTGTATGTAAAGGTGTTTAGCATTTGGGCTTTGGCAAGAATATGACCTTTAATAATGTTTTCCAGAGCACAGGAGTGTAAGAGTCTTTGTTAAAATGAGCATATTGACTGAGACAGAGACTTGGCAGCAACTCTGAAATGCTCTTAGCCTTTCAGTTCAAAATCCAGCCGTACTGGGGAAGCAAAATGACTGCGAGGCCCAATGATCCTGGTTCTGCCATTTTATCACTGGATTCCTTTGCCTAAATCATCCCAGTTGGAAAACTGACCAGATGACATTTTAATCTTGCAATGCAGATGCTTTGTTTCATTTCAGATTTAATGAGAGGGAAAAACTTTTTATGGAAGGAGGCAGTCAGGTTGGTGGGGTCCATATAAGAAGACATTTTAAAAGCAAACATTCAGTTTCTAACTGAAAGAAACACCTCCATCTATGAGACTTCTGCTGCTGACCATCTGTGGCTAATTTTCAGCTGGAAACAGAGCTTTAAGTCTTGAAGTCATAGCATTTTGTGTTCATTCATATGTCAGGTCTATTAGAATGATTCTCTCCTGCTTTACGCAATGAGAAACCAGGACTCCAGAATTAATTTTATTCCTTTGCTTGTAACTATTCTGTTTGCTTCTGTTAAAAATGTATGGAAGTGTTTATTAACATCTCAATGAAAATATAAAGGCTACCATAAATAAATTATTTTAAATTGTTTCACTGATAAGTAGTAAGGTAGAGAAGAATCTGAAATATCACCAGATTAACCAGCTATTAAAACTGTAGACACCTTTGTTTTCTGAATAAAGCTGGCTATGTTTAGTTATTTTAAAAAACCCCAAAACCCAAAAACCAAAAAACCCAACAAAGTATAAAAATAGATTAAGGATAACAGAAGATGAATAAAAACCATGCAAAATTATTTTATGTAGTAAATCACAAACAGATTCTACAGACCCTAAAAAATGCCCTAAAACAAGTCAGCTCTGTGAACATAATTACAAAGTCTCTATGCTTTGGCTGTAGTTTGTAACCTCAATATGCAGCATAAAGAAATAACTCATAATCCTCTTCTGAGGAGTCAAGGACATTGTTCACTGTGAAAAGCTACATTTTTACTAACAGAAATTAATGAGTTTCTTGCAATTAAAACCCAGGAAGCAAGACTGCTGTACTGTGGAATATTTTTAAATAAAAAAGGAGGATAAAACAAATGTTATGAAAAAGATGAAAAACTTTGCAAAGGAATTAATTTTATCACATATTAATTTTAATATTAGGCAGGGAGTAAAAGTAAAAAATCAATTACCTTTCAAACTTTTTCAGACTTCTAAAATCAAAATTAGCTTTATAATGCATTAAAAAAAAGAGCCAAAACACCAGTAACACATAATAGAAAAGCATCATATTGACATCACAGGCATGACACCTAACAATAAATGAGCTACAGAAGCAAAAAATGGATCAATCCTTTTTTTCAGTTTAAAAATTCACATTTTTAAATTTACCTATTTTCTTTACTGTTTGCCGCAGGTTTACAAGTAAAGTTTAATAGATTATGATTTAGTACAAGTATTCAGCTATTTTAGTGTTATTATTTAGTATTAAATGTAAGTAGGAATAGAATCTTTACCAAGGGGAAGCACTTGCTCTTAATGAGTAAATTTAGTAGCACTGTCTATACGCAATGCTTCTTTTAACCAATATTGTCTTGAATATTCTGGTTTCTTTTTCACAGTAAATATAATCTGTCCATTTGTGTCCATTTGGATGACCTCTTTTTACTTAGTTCCTCTTATAAAGAATGAAAATACAACGACACATTGGAAACAGTGATATTTTGAAAAAAAGTCATGAGCACGGACAAATTCTAGATGTGATGACAGCCAGGCAAGCAAAAATATTTTAAACAATAGATTTGTTTTTGTTGTTATGTTTTGGGGTGTATTACAAATGCTTCCAAATGCATTGAGAGCTGGGAAGGAAGTTTCCAATTCTTCCAAATAAAGACGGCACTCTATATTCACAATTTCTTTCC